ACCAACACATGGACCACGGTAGCCACGACATCTTCATGACGGCCCCCATATAAAAACTGACTGAACGCAGCAACGATAAGCAGCAAGGTAGCAACGTTGGTACTGCCAGGAAAAGCAGTGGCAACGGCCACATTTACTATACTTTTTTTTACTATATACTGTATCAACAAGAAGGCGGTAAGGGCAAGCCCGGCCTCCCCTGAACAGAACACCGAGAAGACTAGATCGAGTTAGGCGGCCTGTTGCAGCTCCTTGGGAAGCCAGCCGTGTCCGGCCAGAGCCTCGGCGCTTAGGATTGAAGCTTCGCTGGTCGGGAGCTGGGGAGCAAGGGGGGGTGGGATTAACAAATTTGTGCTTGAGGCTTTGGGTGTTCGGAATTGGGGGTCTCGGTGGTTTCCCAAACTGCGAAGTTGCAGGCTGAGGCTTTCATCACTGACAGTTGAGCGTCGGCGCTTTCGACCCCAAAGCTTGCCCCTGAGTAGGGCTCCTCATGTTGGAGACATTGTGACATGCTTACAGCTCTGAAAAAACTCAGGTGGAGCACAAGAGGCCTCACCGTGAACACCTACGGCAGCACTTTCCCGTTGCCACGGGCTGCATCTATTGATTCGACGACTCATTCTCTTCAGCTACACTCTAGACTCTAGTCGTGTCAGACACGTCTTTTCATCTTCGTCTCACCATACTTGTTTCGCTATCATCATCACCATCATCATGATCATCCCTGGCCGTCGTCGTCATCGTAAAGTGCCGCAGCAGCAAAGCAGCATCACCGCCGTCGCGAAGGTCGCAAAGTGGCAGTAACTGCAACTGCTTCGCCACCGCGATAGACATGTGTTTCCAAACTTGTTGAAGTTGCGACAGATCGTCTGCATAGTGACCCACGGGCCACCTAGAACCACAAGGATCGAAGGCCTCTGACACGAATAGCAATGCAAATCACAGTGGTGGTAAACGTCAATGTCGTCGTCGTCGTCGTCGTCGTCGTCGTCGTCGTCGTCGTCGTGGTCCGGTGGTGGCAGCGGCGGCGGCGGCGGCGGCGGCGGTGCTGGTGGTGGTGGTGGTGGTGGTGGTGGTGGTGGTGGTGGTGCTGGTGGTGGTGGTGGCGGTGGTGGTGGTGGTGGCGGTGGTGGTGGTGGCGGTGGTGGCGGCGGGGGGGGTGGTGGCGGCGGGTGACTTGGTGATACCCCCGCGGCCATCAAAACGACACTCTACCTGTATGCTCTGTATGGTTCGACGGAGCCGATCAGCTTCATGTTTCTCCGGTTTCGATGTTTCGGGCTATTGTGAGACTCTGATGCCATAGCAATGCAGGTAAGCACTCGCTTCAGACTGCGAGTGCTGTGCACCTACGACACATTGCTGCATAAGGCGAAAACTTGCTGAACACGGACACCACAGACACCTTTGGTGTCGAGGCCCTCATCCACTTTCCGATGCTCCACGGGAAGCGACTTCCCTCCACAGCTGCTGCCGTTGCCTTGTTCCGCTTGTTCCTGCCATAGCTCAGCAGACTTTCTTCAAATTTCGGAGATGCTCGCGGTACTCCGCTTCCAACTCTTCTTCCGTCCACTCTGCGTTCCCACTTGGAGATGGCCGTGTCCATCGGCCAAACTCGACGCCTTCTCGCTCCATGAAGCCGGTTTCGGGGATGTCTGCTTTTGACATCGTGTCTTGGTGTGAGATGTGGCCTGTGGCCAACCGCACTGCTGCGGGGAGAGGCATGATCTGCGACAACTCAAGGCCTTCGTATGACAGCTCCAGCTGGTTCAGGACTCTGGCTTCTTCCTCCTCGTTGTCATCCTCTTGCTCATCGTCGCTCCCTGCGGTCATTGTGACATTATTCGTCTCGTCTTCCTCATCCGCCTGTGTCACTTGCGACATCTTGGCTGCCGTGACCTCCGCCTCCGCCAAGACCTTTCGCTCCAGCGCTTCCCTTAAGCGCTGCTCGAGTCCGATAGAGTGGCTCGCAGAAGTGTCACTACTGCGAGGACATCAGCCACTCTATCGGACTCGGTCTGCACCTCAACTACGCGGTTGGCTTTATGCGCCTTGAACCGTTCAGCCTCTTCTTTGAGCTTCCTGACCTGTGCCTGGTGGCTCTGTTTCTTGCGATCGTCATTGCGACAATTCTGTCGCAGAAGATTGACCACTTACATTGTCAGTTGCAAGCGATGCACAC